CAATACATTTTTGGAAAAAAAATTACCAGCAATAAAAATTGTCGGCATGATATAATCCATTGAGATTGATATACCTTAAACCAAAAAGGATTCATATCATTATGCCTAATTGAATATATCGAACATGACTGGAATTCGAGCTTGGCTCTCCGATTAGTCTTTTTACACCACATCTCGCAATAAGTACTTTTCGTAAAATAAACTGAAAATTAACACTGCATCCTCCAGGTCGAATATGACATTGTACGTTTTCTTTACCTATGTACCTATCCGTCCTACCCACTATGTTTAACAGGACAGGGAAATATGTATTGGAAGCTGAAACGTCTTCGATATCAGAAATTCAATGCGATTATTACAACAAAATATGGATGTTCTGTTTGCATTTTAAATAGATTGTAAATTATTGCCTTATTTTAGTATCAAAGTGAGATTGACATTTACCAACCCAAGAAATCATTACAAACTTGTCTTCCATTTTTTTAAAATACTATCTTCAGTAGGGAAAAAAAAAAAACGAAATATAAATTTATACGAGAGATAGACAAAAAGCTTCGGGGAATATACTTTCCGAGTAGGCGTGTGATTAAATAATTAACCTTGTGAGTTATCTCAACATAGCTTTGCCAGTTTGGCTTCGAAGTCGTCAGGTGGCGCTGCCAAGCAACTCTAAAATCAAGACACTTCCTGTCTTCATCATCATCTCCTTCTTTTCCGCCAGTATGGCGTAGCAACGACACCCACCGGGGCCTTCTCCCAGGTCCGGGGATATGTTTCCCCGGGTGACTGAACTTTTTCACACAAAATTCATAACTTTTAATGTTTCCTTTCTTTTACATTCATACTCGTGTATTTTAACGCCTTTGGGCGATTGAGCACAGCTGAATAGTGCCTTATAAGATAATGACTATTATAAAAAAAAAAAGAAAGATTTCTTGAATTTTCGGGTCGGTATACAGAAACAAATAAATATAATGTTTAATAAATGAACGCAGCGTCTACTCAAATATGAGTATCCGCTAAAATTTGTTGGATATATTAAATATATTAAAAAATTCATTACTTCTTTCGAAATTGCTTTAACTTCGAAAGTGAGTCGATATAAATTTTCGAAAATCTGGAAAGGTTTTGCGCTTATAAGGCACTATTCAGCTTTGGTCGATCGGCGAGATCCTTCCTGCCCGGGTTGCCGTAAAGCACGTCGGATCTAACGATGGTTTCTCCTTTCTCATATATATATATATATATATATATATATATATAAAAACACAAAAAGTATAAAATATTGCGTTGTTGAAATTGCCTTCTATTTCCGTTATTTGCACGTGCAAAATATTCTTTCCACTGCTTTTATTTGCCCGCAACAACCAAGAAAGGGCAGAAGGTAAGAAGAAGGAAGATACAGGAAGGTTCAACATTAGAGAAAATTTACAATAGCTGGTTGAAAAAAAAAAAAAAAAAAAAAAAAAAAACGAGTGAAGAGCAGCTTTCCCTGACCTTGTTTGAAGAGTTCAGTATAAGATTTTGTTGAGTGGCCACTATCAGAATTAAACATTAAACCTTGAAATTTTCAGTTAGGGTCATCCTTTGCAGCAAATAGCTACATACGCACAAGCATAAAATATTTTATTATCATTTCATTTTATAGAAGTTGTGTCTCACTCTCTCCATAAAAATATGTCACGTATGCTCTTTGAACTTCCACAGGTTTCTAGTCTATTTTGGAATGTTGAACCTTGTTCCGTCTCAAACATGTTATATCGGATATCTCTGCCTAAAAGTTCTTTGAATTATACCTTCTAGGAAATTAGGTGAATTTCACCAGTACTCTCATTGTTGAATCCGTATTTTTTTAGAACTTTAAATTCATCATACGCTCTTTTATAATAAACGGCTACCAAATTTTACTGATATCTGTGCTTGATCTACTAATCAGATGATTTCAATATAGTAAGTTCGTTAATTTCTTCTGCCATTTCTAATCTTTTAATATGCCTTTATTCCATAGAAATTGTTGTCTCACTCTCCGTAAAAATATTCCCCATTTTAAAATTACTCTAAATTTACAGTATTTACATTAGTCGGACTATTGTCCTCATCTTTGTCGCCATATTTGTCACAACGTTTCGGCCGTTGTACGCTCCGGCCTTCTTCAGGTGGTTGGAATTTCGAACTGAACCCTTTATTTCGATCACTGGGGTAGACTGTTCTAATTCCACGTGCCATGTTTGATGGATGTCAGTTATCAGTTATCTCCTGCTAATTTTCCCTCTGAAAGTTCTCCACTGCCTTAACCAGGAATTGAACTGTCACTGGATCTAACCAACGCCTTTATCCACTGTGCCATGTGTCCTTGAGGACATCTGGGTATGAACTTCTGAGTATTATAAACCTAATGTTTTCAGCATCATTTTTACCAGTGCTCATATTGCAATTTTTGCTGTTATCATTGCATGTCTTTACCAGAGTTCATATTGCAACTTTGTTATCATTGCTTTTCTCTGGCACTCCTTATTACTGGTTCCCATATTGTATTTATTTCTATGCTTGGTCGGCTCAGGAGATTTTTGTGGCCTAGCATATGTGCTGATTCCTTAAGTTTACGAATTTTCCAATGGTGTTCCCTGTCTAAATTTCATGGCATTTTAAGTTTTATTTTTAAGGGAGAGCCGGTTTTACACTTGTAATAATTGCTACAACCCCGGAGTGTTGTATATACAATTCTTAGTCACTTTTTTAACTTTGACTTATCTACATAGAACGAGTACACTTTAGAATATTGTCCAAAGAGATTTATACGAGGTATAGCCAAAATGTTTTGAGTGGGTGTGTGATTAAATACACTTAACGTTGTGGGTTATCCATAAATAGATTTGCTAGTTTCGCCAAGAAGTCGTTAGACGGCGCTGTCATGCAAGCATGAAAATATCAATCTTTCAAATATTGCGACAAACTGTGGAAAATAGGACCAAGGAATTATAATCTACGTGTGGCTAAGAGGCCAAGATGTCTCGCCTACCCAGTCGGAGCCGCCATTTGCAATTTAGGTCAAGCGCATGCATAATTCTAGTGCTTTTAAAACTATCGCAAATTTACATGCAGGATCAAAAACCTGAATAAAAGGTGAGACAAGCAGGGAAAAGAATCTATGGAACAACCTGTGTTAGTTACGACTATCAACGACAAAAACGAATTAACTAACTAATGTATTTCATATTATCGTGCTGACTGGAAAAGAGAGACCATTAAATATATACACTGGAAAAATGTAACTAAATATATAGTTTTCGGTGTAATTTTGGGTAAAAGTACAAGTGAATAAAAATATGATGAAAAGTTTACACAGGTCTTTGTTCATATTGCTTTAATTTTTCTTTGTACTTTTTAAGGATTTACTTGTTTAACAGTCTTTAAGGCAACGAAAATGTGTAGGATTATCCCACTTGTATGCCGGAGAACTTCGGTTAACGATGGCTAGATGGCGTTATCAAAAGCAGTATATATCAAAAGGACACAAAAGTCTTACTCAGTTTTCCCTATTTTACCCACAGTATTCCTTAGGGATAAGGCAGGACTTTTTTTTTTCTTAGGATGGGATGAGGTGCTTAGGTCACTAGAGAACCTGCTGTTACAAATCATTACACAGCATACAATTCATTAAGTTTACTTGAATGCACACAGGTATAGCTATTCATTTTTCCAAGCCCACAAGATTCTCAAATGCAAGTCTCTCACTTTCATTCATAGTAATTTTGCACACACCAACGCACAAAAAGGACATCTCTACATACAAACTTTAATTCAAAACTGTTTTATTTAGTTTTACTTTGGCAATAAAAAATGTTAACTATACGTAATTGTTTGTATACTCATTCTTACACTCTTGTTTGAAGAAACACCAATCTGTCCACAATCATATCAACCATGGTGATACTATAGCGTGAGGTCTACCTCAATATGTCATGCCCCTCCCCGCACGTGGTGATCAGGTGAGGTCTAACATGGATATTTATATGTCTCACATTTTCTGAACACATGAAACAGGAGGTAGACCTCACACTGTAGTAACACCAACCAAACTAAACCAATGTTTCTCTTGCCTTCAAGATATCCTGTGAGTGGCAGATTTTCGAGAGAGAGAGAGAACACGTTTATATTTATATATAAATACATAATTTACAGTATTTACATTAGTCGGACTATTGTCCTCATCTTAGTCTCCATATTTGTCACAACGTTTCGGCCGTTGTACGCTCCGGCCTTCTTCAGGTGGTTGGAATTTCGAACTGAACCCTTTATTTCGATCACTGGGGTAGACTGTTCTAATTCCACGTGCCATGTTTGATGGATGTCAGTTATCAGTTATCTCCTGCTATTTTTTCCCTCTGAAAGTTCTCCACTGCCTTAACCAGGTATTGAACTCACCTTCTTTGGGTCCTGTCACTGGATCTAACCAACGCCTTTATCCACTGTGCCATGTGTCCAGTGATCGAAATAAAGGGTTCAGTTCGAAATTTCAACCACCTGAAGAAGGCCGGAGCGTACAACGGCCGAAACGGTGTGACAAATATGGCGACAAAGATGAGGACAATAGTCCGACTAATGTAAATACTGTACATAATACCTCATCTCAGAAATATAGACAAATACATAATTATTTAAAAAGAAAATATGATTCCTTCGCTACACAAGGATTCTCATGTTTCAAAAACAGGAGCTAAAACTCTTATGTAGCGAAGGAATCATATTTTTTTTAAATAATTATAATTTAGGCTCTACTTTTGTATTGAGCACTGTTTTTAAAAAATAAAAACAACAATACTAAAAAACTTCGGATTATTTACCTAACGTGTTTTTTTTCCCTATATATTTGCACACACACACACATATATATATATATATATATATATATAACAAAAAGAAAGAACAGTAAGATATATAATCCGGTGTTCTTATTGATTCTTTTTATTGTTACAAAACAGTGCTCAATGTAAATTTACAGAGCGTATATATATATATAGATAGATAGATAGATAGATAGATAGATAGATAGATATTTACGGGCACGCCTAAGCATAAGTACACATTAAATAAGGACGATGTCAATATATGAATGAATTATTAATATAAATTATTTGATTCCATTATCACATTCACAAGAAAATATCAATTCACTGAATTTTCACTTGCTTTTGCGCATGATCACACATGCAGACATCCTCAAACACGGGTTTTAATTCCAAATACATCACTATTGATATTTACAAGAAATAGATATGGCCATAAACGGACTGTTAAATAATGAATTATGTTTGCTAACATATGAGCGTCTCCACATTGACTCTTCAAAAGACTAAATGGTACGGTCATCAGGTCAGGTGAGGTCTAATATGGATATTTACGTCTGTCTCACATTTTCTGAACACAAGAAACAGGAGGTAGACCTCACACTGTAGTAACATCAGCCAAACTAAACCAATGTTTCTCTTGCCTTCAAGATATCCTGTGAGTGGCAGATTTTCCAAAGAGAGAGAGAGAGAGAGAGAGAGAACACGTTTATATATATATATAATTATTTTTAAAAAAAATATGTTTCCTTCGCTACATAAAGGTTCTCATGTTTCAAAAACGGGAGTTAAAGGAGCGAAGGAATCATTATTTTTTTAAATAATTATAATTTAGACTACTTTTGTATTGAGCACTGTTTTTTAAAAATAAAAACAAAAATGCTAAAGAACTTCGGATTATTTACCTAATGTTTTCTTTCCTATTTTTCTATATATTTGCACATTATATATATAATCATTATATATATATATATATATATATATATATATATATATATCAAATATAATATATCAAACACTAACACACGAATTATCCAATAAGCAAAATTACACAAAAAATAATTCATCGACTTTTTGAGTTGCTTATTCTTCACCGTCCCCAGTAGTAAGTGTTTGAGATTCATGTAAAAACGATGTATTTACCCCAGAACCCCTCAGGATGGCCTAATGAGGCACAAGGTCGGTGTAATATAGAATGCCCATATGCATACATTTAGGCTAAAGGCAAAAATTGCTCAGCCCCCGCGACTACCATCACGCCGAGGTCGGTATTCACTAATCAGCCCTCTTCAGTGCATTGACAAAAGTGATGCCGTAGTGTTAGAATCGCTGGGGTCAGGCTTCCTTCATAATTTACAGAGGAGAGCAGATGTTACTAAGGTCGGAAAGTTGATTTGGTGGGGGATTACTATGTGTCGTGTCCCTTCATGACGTTGATCATGGCTCGCCACAATTTCCTGTTCTTCGTACCTTTTTGTCTTTTCTCCATCTCTCCTAAACTCTGTACTGCCAGACATTTACACAAACTTGTCATGTAGGTCCTGAGCTGTTTTGTGCTGTCCCTCAGGCTTTCAATATATCCTGTGAGGGTCAAATTTTCCTAGCCTTTTTTCCTTGTTTATGTAACCTAGAAATGTCAACTGTCTCTTTCTGACGTTATAACTCTCCTTTTTGTTTTCATTTTCCCTTTTAAAAAAAAATCCTTCAGTCGAACCTCATTTTCTGCTGCTTTAAGTCTCCTCTTTATCTGCGCAGAGATTGTCCAGCCTTCACTGTCATACTGGAGGACTGATATTACGTAACAGTACTCTTTTCTTTGTTTCTTAATAGCTTTTCGAAGGTGTCTTTCGCTATCCCATTGTGTCTTCGGATTTTGGTGTCAAACTTTCTGTCCTGCTAAAAAACGTCCCAAATATTTGAATTGTTGTACTTGTTTGATTTAGGTATCTCCAGTTTGTAATTTGGGCTGTTCCTTTTGTTGATAAACATGCATTCCATCTCCTTGCAGTTAAGGTTTAGTCCTTTCTTCTCGCTTTGTACCTCATTTCTATTTTTGTATATTTACTGAATTGATTTTGTATCCCTATGCAGATGGTTTGCTCCCAGTATCAGTTCTGGATTATTCTAATATCCTTAAATATGCTGAGGTTACTTAGCAGGTCTAACAGTTCTTTGTGACATACTTTAGCAAAGATTTTTGCAGAGTCTATAAAACATAGGTCTGAATTTTAAGACAAGCAGAGGATCTTAATTTGAACATAGGTCTGAATTTTAATACAAGCTGAGGGTCATAATTTGAACATAGGTCAGAATTTTAAGACAAACTGAGGGTCTTAATTTGGAAGGTTGATGCAACACGATATTTCCCATTTCTTTCATTTAATGCTGAAATCTAAATATTTTGCACACAATTTCATTTTATCTATTGGGAGGAGAGAGAAATAATAATGGTTTTAGTGATGCAAGTCTTACTAATTAACCCATAGCTGGGAGAGAGAAAAGTGAATTTATACCTTTCTCAACGGTATTTGCACATAAGTGAATATAACGAACTTAACTGGAATTGGACTAATCTCAGATTAACAATTCCGAGCCATTATCCATGCCACCATCTGAAAAACCAATCTTACAGAACCTGATATTCTCCAATTGTCACCTATCTAGGTACTGACCAGGGTTTGACGTGTGAGTGTGTGTATAAGGAGTAGTACTGAAAAGTTATCAGCATAGCTCACTTTCCAAAATGTAACATACTAAAGGGGTGGAGAGAAGAGATACTTAGTTGAGCTGAAAACTTTTTCAGCACCCACTTTCATATAAAAGAGGTACACAAGAGTTGCCACTCCGGAAGTAGCATATCGTATTTCATTATAGCAGAAGTTAAATCTTGCTGTCTATTACCCAATTTTTTTTTTCATTTCTTGCCTTGTTACATGACAGACTGTGAAAGAGTGTCTAGTATAAAAGTGCATGTGAAACAGACGCGTCATCAAATTCATCCATGTGGAAAAAAGTAAAATTCAGCAAACACTTGCTGAATGCCGGTAAGAGACTGAACAGTAGATCTGAGCACAGATAGCTGGTTGGTAATGAATTTTTAGCAGTCACAACAGCAATGTATGTGTGACAAGTGAAATTTGGGGGTTCATTGCTGGTGAAAATGTATAGTCATTAATGATGACTATGTTGAAAAATAATGTTTACTATCTGAAAACTTACTCTTTGTAATTGTATTATTGTGCTCATTATTTCCATGGAGATGACAGATACAAAGAGGAGGCATTGCTTTAACAGCTATCTGTGTGTGCGTCTGTGTGAGCATGTGGTTAGAATATTCGTTTTCTGACCATGAGACCCAAGTTCGAATCTCATCATGGTCAACTTATTAGGTAGTTGCCTTCTTGATGCTATTTGACCTGGGATAGTGATCCCAACATGTGGCACCTTTGGAAAGTATCTGGGATGGTAGATCAAGGGCTGACCCAAGCCTTGTGAGTGAAGCTGAATAGACAGAATTATTTGGGAGCCGTCAATGGTTGTACTAGCACAAAGTCACTGTGACTGAGTACTAGCCTTGTTGAGACTGTTGATAAATGTGCTCTCCCCCAGAAACAGTAACACTGAGCTGGGAAGCAGAACTTACAGAATAGTCGTGATTTGCAAGGCCATGTATTCCAGAGGAAGCCCTAAAACTTATGTCAAATGTCTGCCTCTTCAACTGAACTAGTGTATATAATTTTTACATTACTTATATTGTAAGTGATGGAATTTAGAAACTATAAATCTCATATTGTTTCTTAATTAAAGGTTTCTCTCTATATAGTGTTCATTTCTATGCTAGGCCTACTGAGAGGGTTATTAGAGCCTAGTATGTATGCTGGTTAGTTTGTATAAGTATTATTCTTTACTATTCTTCTGAGAAAATGTTCTTATTCATTAATCAGTTTCTCTTCACTTCCTTCCTCCTCACATATTTTCTTTTGTTTAATCTACTTTAAAACAAACTGATAAAAATGGCTTCAACAGAAATATCTAAATTTGAAGTCCCATCATGAAGATGAATAAGAAGCATTCAGAAAAGTCGTTTCCTGGTAAACAGGTAAATCAGCTACTCTGCAAGTTATTGTTACTATATCACCAATGTCTACCCACCCCCTTCTTGTTTGTTCATTGTTCAAAAAGAGAAATAGATGACAAGAACAAAATAGAACAAGATTGTTTGCCACTTTGATAACAACTGCACTAAAATGCAGAATGACTTTCAAAGAATTCCACACTTACGAAACTGGCTTTTTTTAAAATCCTGTTTGGGCATTTCAAAACAAAAAAAAATATTAATTACAATTTACCATTTCTTGAAGAGAAATAAGCTTAATATTTTTTTTTATTCTTCTCTACACAATTACCATATTTCTCAGCATCAAAGACACTAGCGCCCACCCCTGAAATTAATCTTGAAAATTTACCCTTCATTCCCATTTTACAATGGTTACTTACATATTTATTTATGTCTTTATTTTTTTCCTTTTATTTTTTAAATTTTATTTTGCAAGTCAAAACTGACACAGGAAAATATGGTAACAATTTTCACAACAACCAGAATTCCATTTTTATCAACTACTTGTTAAACTGGTGCACTTTATCAACCTATGACCTTTTAATGCAACCACTTTGGGAATTACCTGTTGAAGTTTTAGTACCACCTTGTCAGGCATGTTCAGCTTAAGCTTTTAACTAATCCTGCTTACCAGAAATTTCCAATACACACACACAAAAAAAAATAAATTAGTCCTTGACCCAAAATTGAGGAAGCTAGTGCTTCATGGCAGAAATTCAAAGCATTTCACTTTTAAGCTTGGTTTTTTACCTGACTACACCAATAATTCTTAATTTACCTGAGTTATATAAATACTTGTTTTAGCTCAGTGGTTAAAGACGTGGGCTGAGAATGAATCGAGCACACGTTTCTTTCATTCTGTGAACTTGAAAAAAAAGAAGAAAAAGTTTCTTAAGCTAGTTTGAAAAGTTACAGAGGAAGTTGTGAATTATAATCACAGATAATATTAATTGTTATTAGCTGTGCTCAAACAAATTTATTTAAAATGAATTTAAAATTATCTGCTTGTTATAATTAACAACCCATATATTTTTTATAATAAAAACAATTAACTATTTCAAATCTGAGGAGGTATAGGTGTTTGAGAAAACATAGCTGTTTATTTACAAACAA